AAATCGTAGCAAGTACCTACCATGATTCCTTCAGTGCCCTTCCTTCCCCCCAACCCCAAAGGGACCTGCCGCTGATTTGCATGATTGCTCACTAGAAAAGGGGAAATGGCTGAAGTTATTCATATCCTGAAGTTTAGTAGACACGGAGTTTGACATTAATATCTGGAGCTAAAAGCATGATCATGGTCCCTCAGAAGGGCTGCTATAATTGGATTTGAAGCGTCCCCCCCAGGTCATTGGGGGGCCTGTTCTTGAAGGGGAGAGTAGGACACTGGCTCCCTCCTCACCCTCTTTTCCTTCTATCTAAGTGGTGAGTGGTTTTGCTTTTTCGTCCACCCCCCGCCTCACCCCAAACCATGGGCCAATAGAACAGGGAGCAAAATCTCTGAAACTGAGCTCAAGTCAACCTTTTCTCTTCCTGAGTTGATTATCTTGGGTATTTGTTATAGTGATAGAAAGCTGGTCAGTACAGGGGCCAGGTACTAAGCAGAAGTCTGGTCATTGTGGACCCACTGGGTCGGAGAAGGCACTCACCTCGTAGTTCCTTGCACCCAGGGATTTAATTGGAATTGATACTCTTTGACAGTGGGAGTAATCCCTGGTCTCTTGGGTCTTCTTTCATAGAGAAGGCCAAGTGGGGACAGTCAGTACTTTATATATATATGTATGTATTTTAGTTGTAGATGGACACTGTTTTATTTATTTTATGTGGTGCTGAGGATCCAGCCCAGTGCCTCACATGCGCTAGGCAAGTGCTCTGCCATTGAGCCACGACTCCAGCTTCCCAGTGGGTACTTCTGGAACTCTCTTCTCCCTTCTCCTTCACCCTGTGGCTCTTGCCACATTTTAGAGTAGATAAAAATAATGACATCTCATCCCAGGGGGTGTGGCAGAGATTAATGCCATCATGAACAATTTAAAGGATGAAGGGTTAGGGGTCCCTAACAGTCCTCCATTTAATTTATCAGTGTGACCCCTGCAGAAAAATGATGGGCCCTGGAGAAAGACTGCAGACCCCCTGAGGCTCACCCAAGGGGGAGCCCTGCCTGTAACTGCTGCGTCAGAGGCAGAATCATTGCTGGTGAAGATGAATCAGGCTTTGGGTTTGTGGATGCAGCCATTTGGCAAGTGTGTTCTTTCCTATTACAGTTAGAGAAGAGGATCAGAAGCAGTTCACGTTCACTTGGGATGGACAACAGTGTTTGTCAGAAGTTTTGCCTCAAGCTGTGTCAACTCTCTTCCCCCTGTTACAGTGCCATCGGAAGAGAGGAGGACCCTCTGGACATTCCACACATCATCACATTGATTCACTGTAGCCGTGACATTGTGTTGATTATGTAGGAGAACGAGTCGAGTGTGTTGTGTGAAAGCCATGGAGATTCAAGGAGCTGCCTCTGTATTGAAGTTTTTAAGGGCCCAGGGGTCGGGTATGCTGGGATACCTCCTCCTACATAAAAGAAATCACCGCATCTTGCATCTCTTGTCACAGTGAAGAAAGCATGGTGCCTGGCAACCTCCTTTGGGGTCTGAGGCAACATGTCAATCTGGGTGACAGAGAAAGCTGGGTGCCCTGCCAAGAAAGGCTCTGAGGAAGCCTAAGACTGCAGTGAGAGCAGCCCTGCTGTTGGTCATATGATTTGGCAGACTCTGTGGTGTTGGAGATGTCAGTAGTGATAAAGAGGAAAGATGTAGCAGGGAGCTGATGGAGAGTCCCAACTCAAAATCACAACATGGGCCTTTGGGATCCTGCAGCAAGGCTGCACCATCAGCAGCAGAGGACTAGATAATTTTTTTTTTTTGTACTGGAGATTGAACCCAGCCCTTTTTATATTTTATTTAGACACAGGGTCTCACTGAGTTGCTTAGGGCTTTGCTAAGTTGTTGAGGCTGGCTTTGAGCTTATGATCCTCCTGCCTGAGCCTCCCCAGCTGCTGGGATTACAGATGTGCACCACCATGCCCAGCGACTATATACCTTTTGAGAAATAGTCCCTAGTGGTGACAGAACACTGTCTATGGAATACCAAGTGGGAAGCCCCAAATTGTCTATTATGGGCTGAGTTCTGTCAGAGGCATCAAGTTGTAAAGTCAGATGGGCCTGGCAGAGTCTATTGTGAGATAGAAATACTGCAGCTGGGATTGAACTTGCAGGATCAGAGGAGGTAGCCAGGGCCTGTCCCCTACAACCCTTATACCTAAGACATATGGAGGGTCCTGTGTAACCAGCTAAGAAAAGGAAATAGCCTGGGCCTGGTTTACTGATGGGTTACTTGGTACATGGGAATGTGGTGAAGATGGTCAGTGTCTCCCTGATTGTCCAGGAGAAATTCACCCCCGGGGGTAGAGAAGTGAGCAGAGTGCTTGGCTGTCTGCTCTGTGTGCAAGAAGAAGTGTCCAAAGCAGTAGGTATCTATACTGCCTGATTGTTTGGTCAGGGGACTGGAAGACTGGAGATGGGCTGTGGTGTGGCAGAGGTGTGTGGCTGCAGGTGGGTGTGTGGGGAAAGCATGCTGGGTGTTTTTGTAGCACATTAATGCTCACCTGAAAGCACCCAACACAGAGGAAGCAGTGAATAAGCAAGGGAGGAAAATGACCTGCACTGCTGACATTAACCAGCCCTCATCAATGGCCAAGTGGGAACCAGCACAATGGCTCTCCTATAGGTTTCCAAGGAAACCTAGACACTCCTGCCTTGGAATGCCAGGGTTTGGCAAGAGAGGCCGATGCTGACCCCTAGTGTGGCTCTACTCCTTGAGGAAGCCAACTGCTTTGGGCTCTTTCCATCATGGAAGGGCCCATGATTCATCAAGGTCAGTTACTCCTGGCAGTAGGGTGACTTCCCTTCATGTCTTTGGCCTATGGACACAAAGAATCCAAGTGCCCTGGTGGCAGCCATAAGTCATCCTTGAATGCTATGCTGTGTGGAATTCCATACTTTGGATCATGCATTCTGTAAGGCCCTAGAACATAGTGCTGACAGAGGCTCTGTGGTCAGAAAAGGCAGTACATACCCAGAATACCTGGAAGGTGACCCAAGGGTCACATCTGCATTGTGGTCTCTTGCTCTTCCCCTCATTTCCTTCTCATTGCCACTTGCTTCTCAGAGGACTGAGACTAACACATCTGTTACTACCTGTGTGCTCTTTTGACTAGCAGCAAATGCATCACCCAGGAGCTTGTTAGAACTATGGAAGGTCAAGTCTCAGCCCAGACTTAATTATTAAGATCATTTGTTGTTGTTGCTGTTGGGGATTGAACCCAGGGCCTTGTGCATGCTAAGCACATGCTCTGCCACCTCCAGGCCCTAGAATCTTCATTTTAACAAGATGGTTTATAAGAGCATTAACATTGGAGAAGCACTGATTTATTTATTTTTCTCCAGCAAATCTTTTAAATCTCAGTTTGGAACTTGAGTCCTTGTCAAGGTAAACATTTGGAATCACAATGTAAAAGACCACCTGGATCCCTCATTTTTGTTGTGTGTATGTGTTGGGGATTGATCCTAGGCCTGTATGTGCTCTATCACTGAGCTACACCCCCAACCCCTGGGTCTTTTATTTCATAGGCTAAAGCCCAGCAGAATGAAGGGACTGGTTCAAGGTCACAGAGTGAATTACAAGAGAGCCAGCACTGGAACCCAGCTTCTCCCACTGCAGGCTCTGCTAAGAGCAGGCTAATTGCTCTAAATCTATTGTCTAGAATGATAGCCGTGGAAATATGGTTGTATTGAAATATGTGCTACAGTATACGTTGCTATGAAAACATGAGATATATGAAAAAAAATTTGGTCTTTGTCCTGGGCTCCTAGGACACAGTTGCTAAAACTCTTAGACTTTCCTCTGTTGTCTTGTTATTTAAAATGTGCCCTTTTCAGCCCCACCTGAGTTCGTGCTGTAAGATGATTTAGGGTAGGGCCGCTGGATAGCTTTGGGAGGGGGGCTGGTCACCAGAAAGACAGAACAAGTGAATAGAGGGTGGGAGATTTTGGGCTCTTCAGCTTCAGGGGATGGAGAGCATTGGGTTATAAAAACTCATGAACAGAGATTTGGAGAGCTTCTGAATCGATGGCCATCAAGGTGCCATGCCACCAACTGTACATCTTGCTCTGTGCATTTCTTCCAGGTAGGGAGGGGCCTGCTACAGATTGTTGCAAGGCACAAATCAGGGTCTGTCCTCCTTGGAACCCAGTGTCCCTTCCCTTCAGCTCTGCGCCAAGGAATGAAGGGCATCCAGGTACTGACACTGTGCATATGGCTCTTGCTCAACCCCCAATCTCAGATGTTTCTCTCCTGACTGAACCTCAGGGACAGAGCAGGGTACAGTGGCATATCCCAGGGTTGGCCATTAGGGAGGAGGCTTGGGGCCTCTTGGCTGGGTCACATGTGATCTCTAGACTGAGGAAGCCTGAAGTCCCAAGGAGGGGGATACCAATGCCTTGACTTGGGCCCCTGTGGCTCTTGGAGGTCTTCTTGCCTGGTTCAGGGAGGTCTCCTTAAAGGTCCAGCTCTGCTGGCTACATGAGGGAACTCCAAGGACTGAGCCGGAGGAAGTATTGACCAGAACTGAAATCCCTGACCACTCTTTGTGTTGCTGATGGAAGCAGCAGTCTGCTACCCAGCAAGACTTCAATGGCTTATGCCGAAAATCTTCACAAATGGCCCCGTACCATAGGTGGTAAGACTGTGACCCAGAAGAGGTAAGGGACTCTTACAGTCTCTCACAGCTCAGGAGAGCAGGTGGTAGGGTGGCAGTAGGAGTGAGAACATTGGCCTGAGGTGTCTTCTTAAACACTGCAGAAGAGTGTCCAGAACCCAGAAGCTCAGGACAGTGTGTCCAGCATCTGTTACTCCTGAGCAAAGGGCAGCAATGACATTGGCAGAACCAAGGCCCAAGTGCACTATGTTTTATCCTTGAACCTTCCATTCCATGACAAGGCCTGAACATTTCCCTTTGGAGGGATGTGCACTGCAGAATAAATGTCACTTCACAGTTCAAGAAGGATGCTATTTCTTAAGAAATAAATTTAATTCAAGGTGGTTAGTGAACGTAAGGCATGTAATGCCTTCATGAAAGTTAAAATAATCCAGTTACAAAAGAAGCACTGTGTACAGTCTCAAATTGCTGAAAGTACAATGGGCTCCATATTTTACAAAGTACAAAAAATTATTTCATATACAAAGAAAAGTACAAATAATGTGCAAAACCATTTTCACAGGTGGCAAATTTATAAAATGAGTATGATAGAAAAGTCCTTCCTTCTTATTATTTCCCAATTTCTTATATATTAACACATTTCTATGTCCTACTGTATAGGCAATTTTAAACTTGAAAATCTGACTTATTTTAACCTACAAAGTAGCTTTTTCTTAGAAAGGGAACCTTTCATTACTAAAATCTTATGAATGAATCAGTAAAGTTAATTTTACATTAAATTATAAGCAGGCTATCTGAAAAACAAAGATATAGAAATCATATATACATATTTTTGAAATATTAGTTTGGTATTTAACATATTAACATTTCAAAACAAACGCAGTGATGGAGCTACCTAGGGCAGAGCAGCTGAGGCAGCAGAGGCTGTTCCTGCTCACGGAGAGCAAACAGGATCCTTGGGCCTCAGGATGAACAAACACAAGGTTGTCAAAATAAAGAGAATCTAAGGGCAGTTCTTATTTTCATGTGCAGAAGTGCTGTGTGGGTGTCAGCCCTGCCGCAGCATGTGCTTGTCAGGGGTGTGTGGCTCTAAGTAGCTGGCTGCCATCTTTCCAACATCTTCACTTGATTAGGAGCTCAGTGCAAGGGTTTGTGGGTTAGTGCATGCAGCTTTCTGCATGTTATTTTGTGTAAGAAGCTGTCAGGGAGCAGAAGAACACACAGGAACACAGGCCCTGCATCCTTGGACCACCTCTAGTCTAGAGGATTCCATGTTTTGGAAGCAGCATTTCCTGCATTGGCCTGGTCATCGCTGCATCATTCCCCGGGCAGGCTTTTTCTATCAGGATAATCCTGTGAGCTCCCTCTTTGCCTGTTAATGATCAATAATGTCTCTCACTGGGAACCTCAATGGCAGAGCAAGGACCAAGGAAGCACCTTTTGGTAGCACCAGAGAACTGAGCATCTCAAAGGTCAGGCATAAGAGTAGGTGTCTTGATGGGAAACCTACTCTATGTAGAATGTAAGATGATCTTTGGAGGGTTTTGATTTTTGCTTATTAAAGAGTTCTCCAAGGAAATTATGACCTTGGAGAACAAAAAGGACCTTCATAAAGGACTCAAGTAGGTCATGGCCATTTTGCCTAGAGGATGGATGAGAGCAGGTTCAGGAGAATTCTTCTGATCCCTAACCACTAAGACCCTGTTAGAACAATTCAGTGCAAGACATAGGAAGGGCCTGGTGCTCTTGACCAGGCTGTGTGACACACCCATTCAGGTGAAGTGGACGTAGTAACTGCTGTAAGGAGGGCCTGGGTAAGACCAGGCAAGAGAAGGCCATGCCCTGGGATGACTCGCTGCCTGCTCTTCAAGGATTCATGCCTTTTTTCTATCTGGCAGCAGGACCTCCTCTCCTCCTTTTTCTTGGGTTGACCAAGGTATCAGGCATCAGAGATACAGCTCTGGATCCTGTCCATCCATTGCTGGGCACTCTGTCCATCCTGGGCACAGAAATTATACACGCGCTTGCTGGTCTTGAGCTAAAAAACCAAATGACAGAGAACCAGAGATGAAGGGCAGGGTTGTTTTATGGCTTTGGCAAGTGGCAAATCAATCCCTGTAACCTTCCTTTCCATACTGCCCCAGCACCTCTATTTTTTCTTTCTCTATTACCACACTGTCACTGCCTTTATGGTCTTTTTACTTTTCTAGTTCCCAAAGTCACAGGGGATGTTAATAGATAGGTACTGGGGACACAAGAGAGACTGTATGCATTCCTGGGGCCACCTTTGACTGGGGGTAAGGATCAGGACTGGCTGGAGTCTCTGGCTTCTCTCACATATCACACCAATGTAGTATGGGCGAGGGAGCTCAGGCGGAAAGCCCAAGAGTCATCCTTATTATGTAGTTAGCCTTTGTGTCCTTTTCTTCAATTGGGGCCATAATGGAAGCCAAGAGAACAAGGAAATGGTCTCCTGGCCTGATCGGGACCCTGGAATATGACCTCTGCTTTTTATGAAGACTTGCTTGACTCCAGGGATTAGACAAGTCGCCTTCTGTCCTGTGGCCCATAAAATGCCCTAAGGCCCACCTTCAGTCCCCTGAAGATATTAGGGCAGACAATTATCATGTGTGACCAAGGACAGCCTTCTGTGGAGGTTCAAGCTGAAAGACCACTGGATATGGAGGGAGCGGCATCTGTCCTTGAAAGTGAGGGTTACTGAGATGACTAACAGCATTTTGAAAGAGTTTGTTGGCTTCCCTGTGTGGATCTGAAATGCATGGACAGCTCAGAGAGGTCAGGCTTGGGTTTACAGTGCTGATTTCAAATTCAGTACTCCCCACAGCCAAGGTCTGTTACTCCTCTGCAGTCACCACCAATTGTTCTGGGGACCTCATAGTGTCTTGAAGGCCAATGGAATGATGTGCAGGCTGAGTCACCAAAAGAGAAATAAGATCAACTTACATCAAAGAAGGCCTTGTCACTCGTGTGCTTTGGGGCTCCCATGCTGGGGCCAGCAGGGATGACCATTTCTACTTCTGCCAGGTCAATGTGGCCTTTACAACTCGTGTCTTCACCTGAGTCATAGTATCGCAGCTACAATCAAACGGAATCAGATAGGATGTGAAAGACATAGAAAGGGAAAATGGCATGGCTTTCCAAAATGTATCTGATTGTTTTCTCTGTCTTGTGCTTATATCTTCAAAAAAAAAAAAAAATACACACTGATTGACTCTAGGAAGAACCAGTGCTGGGAGAAGGAAGTGGGCACAAGATGCATGAACTTCTTTGAAATTTGAGCAGGTAAATATGTTACATATAAAAAATAGTGAGCCAACAACCATTAAGAAATACACAACACATAACAAAGGCGTTTAGTGTCCTAAGCTAGTAAAAAATAGGCAAGTCAGAGAAGAAAGACAAAGACCTATAAACATCTGAAAAGATAACCAACTTTGCTGATCAGAGAAAAGTAAATGAAATGACTAAGATTTCACTTTTCATTTGGATTGAAAAATATTAAAAATGGCTGATAATACCCAGCAAGACAATGAGGTCTCTTGAATGCTGTTAATGGGGATATAATTTGTTAGAAATCTTTGTGGAAAACGATTTGGCAATATCAACTAAAACTGAAAATGTCTGTGTCTGTTGAACATCTTTCCCAGCTCTACAAAGTTATCCTACAGACACAGAAATAAAGGGCTTTTCTTCCTCAATGCATTCATTAGCTCAGCATCAGAAAAGAGGTCCTTTTCTTTCGGTGGAACCTTGGTTGATTAAATAATAACCACCAATAAAATAGAATATGCTAGATGGCTTTCCAAAAAGAACAAGGAAGACTTCTATTATAAACTGGTAGAAAAATTGTTCAAGCTACATTATTTTTAAAAAGCAAGTTTGCCAAACAGCATATAGATATAAAATAATTTCTGTAGAACAGCTTAACACTTGATTGCATTGGGGACTTTTGGATCTTTATGAAATATCTGAATTTGGTCTAATAACACATGCATTGGTTTTGGAATAAGAAGGAAAGAAAAAAATATTTTAAAAGTTAAAGAGCCTGCTGGTGAAATACAGCCCGTGGATTTCACTGTGCATGACAGGAATGTGTCTGCTGTTTCTGTCACTGCTGTTCTGGCCTCAGACTTTTCTGTCTCTCCACTCAGAAGTGGTATGAGTAGAGCTAAATGGAAAAACTATCTACCTTTCATGTTAAAGAAATCCAAAATATTGGTAAGAATGCAAGTATAATTTGGTGTAATTTTAAACTATGGAAAAATTATGACATTCTCCTATGTTGTATTTAGTGGTTTAATGGACTCTTCTGCACAGTGTAGGCTCTATGATTTCAGAGACACCTTTAAAGTACAGTCCCCCTAAGGGGGCTTCCATTTATATATGTGAGAATAAGTTATCAAATAAAGACTCTGTAACTTTTGCGAAACCCCTTGAGCAGAGGAAAAAGTGGGCCCCAAATATAATCATCTTCTAGCTGCAGATCCCACGGGAGCATTAGAGGGTAATAGTTCAGCACTTTCTCGAAGTCTGCCTGGATGAATGTGTGAGAATGAGCACCAACCCTTTGCCTCAGGCTGTCTGGCCTTTGGTCAGAAGGAGAGGCCACATAGCTCTTAGTAATAAAAGGTGCAGAGAGGAGAGGTGGGAGGTTTGAGTATGGATCTCTCTCCTTTGAAACCCCTGGAGCAAAGATTATGACACTAAGGCTAATAATCTTTAGTTGTGAGAATAATAGCTAAGAATCGAACAATGGAAGAAGGTTCCCTAATGTGGTCAGCAAGGTCAAGTCTAATACCTGACCACTGTGAACTCCAGGTTTGGGTAGGGCCTCCTCTTCCCCTCCCCTCCCCTCTCCTGTTGCTACCATCTTTGAGGGATAGCAATGCCTTCTTCAGTAACCAGTACAGTGATGGGCACAGAAGTGGAGTGCAGTAAACATCTCCTGAGTGGCTTAACACCCTCAGTCATGGCTGGATGTTTGCTGTGAGGATGAAAGGTATCTGAATTCTGTGGCACGCGCACAGGCCTATTTGTGCATATGGTACACATGCAACAGGCTGAGACCTCAGTGCTTCCTGACCTGGGCTTTAAGGGCAGACACAGGAGATTTTCAAGCATTAAAAAGAGTTGTGCTCTCTGAGTGCTCTGGACTCAATTCACTGCCTCTGAGTGAATGTGCCTCTACTTTGGAATTTCCCTCAGAAGGTTACTAGGGAAATCAGGGGCCCTGGAGGAGCCCCCAGGCTGCATCTGAGAGACTCTAGGACAGCAGTCTGTACATGAGGAATGTATCTGTTTGTTGAGAGCCAAATAATAGCCAGGGATTGAGACCAGCCCCACAGAAGTAATTTCTTCTGGCGTTAACAGTATTACCTGATGTTTTGTTACATCCAAAACGAACCAACGTGGTTTCCAACCTTTCAACAAAGCCCCTCTTTTGTAAAGTGTTCCCTCAAAGGACCTAGGAGAAATGACAACAAAGTAATTTTAATTTTTTACTTAGAAAATGTGCTAGATCTCTATTTCCTCTATGTGATCCACAAAAAGGACAGTCAGAATTCTCCCTGGAATTTGGTACTAGACCTTTGGGAAGGAACTGCCTTTTTCTGCTGCACTCATCATACTTGTGAGGTTAGGAACTGTTAACAGCCACCTTCTGTGCTATGCTGGGATTAGTGTAACATAGAGAGAAAAGCACAGTTGGAAACAGACAGAGCCTGAAGACACTGTGTAAGAAACCAGCATGGCTTTGGCTGTCCTAGTTTCTGTGAGTAAATTCCTTTTGCTTCAGCTAGCATGAGCTGGATTTCTTATGTGTGCCACAAAAAAAGTGCTGACTAACACACATTCCCTCAAAAGCTCTGGCAGACATGAGATAATAACAATCAGGAAACAACCACAAATAACTATAACCTCTTGGCATTATTTTTAGTTGTAAGGTTCATTTTTTTTCCCTCTTCAAAGAACCATCTAAAGCATTGAGGAAAAAAAAAAGAATTCAAGCTAATCTGTTTCAAGTTTAAAAAAGGCTGTAGTGCACAGGCAGTCACAGAGGCCTGTGGATTAGCTTAGGGCAGCAAGGGGAGTCTTAGCAGACTCAGCAGAGCTCAGCACATCACCTGTTCTCATCGTTCTTGGAGGTGTACTGGCTGTAGAGGGTAGCTGCCCTTCGCTCCACCCCATTGGATGGGGAGATGCTGGCATTATGCTCTTCGCCCATGCTACTGTCCGGGAGGTGCAACACAGGCCTCTTCTGATAGGAAGGTAGGTTCGTAGACACAATTCCTGGGGACCCTGATGGGTATCTTTGGGGCTGAAAACAAAGGAACAGGTGCTAAGAAAGCTTTATAGAGACTTTAAGCAACTGACCTGATCATTTCACTTACGCAAATTTATCTCAAGAGAAAAAACTGGACTATGAGCAATGATGTATGTACAAAGACACTTATCTTGGGGCTGTTTAAAAATAAAAACTGTAAACTCTCTAATATCCATTATCAAGGGACCAGTTAAAATGTTATTTCTGTACATGATGTTCTAGATAGTCACTAAAATGATGCTGCTGACTTATACATGGTGGCAAATAGAGGACACGTATGCCAACATTAAGTAAAAAAGACGGCAGGTTAAAAAAAAGTATGTAAAAGTCAATCGCTTTTGTCTGTGGGCTCAGAATGATGAAACAGTTGGGAGAGCACAGTGGTTTATTTCAAGTTATAAATTATGGGTGATTTTCATCTTCTGTTTTATAACTTGCTGTGACTTATCTTATTTAAAAAATACCTTACTTTAATAATCAGAAAAATATCAAGAAACTATCTTTCTGAGGAAAAAAGCATAAAGGCATTGCCCATGGCTTATGTGCTATCAGCACCTAAACGTTGAGGCTCGAGACAGAGCCTGGAGGGTCCCTCCTTACCAAAGGTTTTCTTCTCACTCCACTCCTCTTGACCTCTCCTTTCTGAAATGCTCTTGTGAATACTCATCTGTCCTAATTTCCTTTCTGATATGTTTGGAACCAATCTGATGTGAATTTGAATGGTGGTACTACCAATTACTAGCTGTGAGATCTCTGCCTGCTTCCTCATGTATGAGGTAGGACCCTCCTCACTGTGGACTGGACAGGATGTGAATGTGTCTGCTACTAAGCACAGTCCCTTGCACATATTATGTGCCTGATAAATGTTTCTTAAATCAGAAACAGGAAATGGGATGTGAGAAGCAGAAAACAGAGTATTTGGTTTAAAAACATTTCTATGATAAATGCTTCTTAAATCAGAAACAGAAAAGGAAGTGTGAGGAATAGAAAGCAGCTTATTTTGTCATTTTAAAATATTTTCATTTTCTATGCTTATTTCTCTGGAGCAAACATGGCCTTGGCATTCCCCACCTCCCTCATGTGGTAGAAGATCAATTGAAACCACAGTGACACTGGGATAGAAAAGAACCCAGTAATTTTCCCTGGATTCAGTGCCCTAAAACATTAAGTATTATGTCACTGTGGTATGGTGAGATACTCAGGAAATATTCAGTCATTTGGAACTTTCTGCCCTGGACCCCCAGGGCATGACCCCTCCCTTTTCCATCTTCCCTCTGGCCATAAATCCAGAGTCCCTTTGGTGGGTCAGTGGGTCCCATCTGACCTAGTACCCTCAAAAGCTAAGAATTAGCTCCTCGGGGGCTCTGCCAACTCACCCGGTCTATTCTTGCATCTTCTTTAAGGTCCATGGTTACTTTTTCCCACAGCTGCTGCCATTTCTCAGGGGTTTGGTTCAATTTATGCTCCAATTTTTCAATTTCCTGCAAATAAATGAAGTTTTCTGACAGATTAGTACTTCATAGAAGTTAGGATGTGCCCCAGAGCCATATTTCCTCTGTATTGGGCCCAGATGAGCAGCATGGCAGAGGACAGTTAAAAAAAAGTCATATATGTGGGGCCTCAGAGGTTTCCCAAGCCAGGAAGAGTGGTAGGCGCATGAGTTGGTATGACTCACTGTGATGAAGATGATCTATCAGGACTCATTATCAGGTTATTTTTTTAAAGACATGCTTAAAAAGCAAGAGATAAGATATATATCCTATTCACCTTCATTTTTGGGCAACCAATGAGAAATCTGATGGGCAAAGTAAATGGTCAAGCACTGGGCCTGTGTCCTAACCCTAATGGCTGAGATAGATGTGAAGTCTGTCCTTGACAGAGGAGCCCCTCAACTCTGATGACTCAAAGTAGATGTGAAAAGAATGAACCAAGAAATGCCCAAAGAGACGGATTTCCCTTCTGATAGGGGTCTGGTACAGTGCTATCACTGCTGCATACTGTACCTGCCCAGAAAACCAGAGGGAGAGCACTCTTTAGGAACCGTCTGGACCACATGAGGACTCAAAACCATTCCTCAGGGTAGCTACTGCCAGGATGGCTGTGCTCCAGAATTTTCCTTGCAGAAGGTAGTTGGCAGCAGTCCCATCAGGCCATCAGCTACCCACACTTCTGACCAGAGGAAGTAAAGCACCCACAAAAGCCATAGCCCAGGCCTGACTCAGGATGCTTGGGCAGCTAAAACAGCTGCTCTCAGAAGGAGCAAATCACTCCTTTTGGTCAACTGCTTCCTTGAAATGCAGGAAGCTGACTTTTATTGAAAATCTTTTCATTGGTTAAGCCTGTACCCCACTGATATAGGGGAGCAAGTCTGGTTTCTTCAGATTTTTGGAGTGCTACCTATGACACTAGGAAAGCCATGCTCAGAAGTTTATGAGCCAGCCTTTGCTTTGCTTGGTTCCTAAGGCCCCGGTGTGTTCCCAGGGTGAGCCCTGTGTGCCTGCACACAGCTGACTTACACTAAAAAGTCTGGTGAGAGCATCGGGCTGAATGATGCTGACATTATCATAGCACGGCCACACTGTTCTCCTTTGGCTCTGGGGCCCCGCTCCTCCAGCCAGATCAGACTCTTCAGAGGGGAAGTGCTTGGGAGTCAGCATCATCCAATCATATGAAGGCCCTGTGGACAGGGTCTCCTCTGTGTAGTAGTCCCACTTCTTGAGGCTGGAGATGTTTACATTGGGCTTCAGGGCCTGTTTAAAGAAAACTCTGAAATATAGTTTCATATTGACCAAAGTACCCCAAGCTTACTAACATTTGCAGGGGCCCGGGCGAGCATGTGAATGGAGTTTCAAGTATCATTCACCTGAACATTAAAAGTTATACATCAAGATGAATTGTACCCTAGGAAGTGGGAGCACTGAGGAATCTAGCCTCTGCTCCTAGTCCTTGGCTTAAGCTTTTCCTCCCATCCTGGCCTTACACGAATGTTTATGTACAGACTCTGTCTTCCCTCTGCTGAGGAGCTACTTCTCACACCAACCTTGGGCCTAGACTGGGAAAAGTAGCCTGGTGAGTAGCCAAACTCCTTGAATTTGGGAATTTCAAGGTACCCAGAGCATGACTTAGATGAGGAGAGATGTGCCTTGGTTTCTTGTACTCCTTACCTTGGGAGGGGAGGAGGGTGCAACTGGGATTCTAATGCAGGGCACCCAGGGAAGGGACTTCTTTTGCTCCTAAATAAGGATAGTACTGCCTATCAAATGCTCCTGTTCCATCTTAGAGCCTTATTATACAGATGCACACAACAAAACACTGTTGTCCTGAGATACGTCATCCTTCTTGAGTTGGGCACCAAAAATCTCTATATCACAAAGGAGTATTTCCATGGGTTTGGTAAGATGGACTTGGAAAGCTTTTCCTAAAGCTTTCAGATTTTTCAGCCTAAATCACCTAAGAGAATTTGCCTTTCTTTGATTCTGATATCCTTTCTAGACTTTAGGGGCCAGATCCTAATTTTTGTGGCAAGAATTTAGCATTCATTCTCCATTTCCATCATAACCCAAACCTAAACTAAAATAGCTTTTGGCATGAAACCTTGTCCAATATTTATAAAAATTTATATACACTAAAACGAAGGAAAACTTTAACACAAAATATTTAGAAAATGAAACACAAATGATTTCTTACTTTACCTCTATTTCCACTGGTGAATATAAATAGTTAAAAAAAATGGGACTCTTCTTGTGCATTCTATCAATACACTCCCAAATACAAATTCCTTTCTTGGCATGCTTGTCTCCTTTATCATCAAATAAAGTTCCTGTAAATTAAAAAAAATCCAACAAAATTAAAGTTAAATACATTAACTTTTGCCTAAAGTGTGATGCATTGTGCAGAAACCTTAGAAAATAACTGCAAACTAAAGATGAAAGGAACTTCACAGCTATATGAGAAAAATCAAAGTGGAAGGAAAACATAGGCAAGGTTTTCCTAGGAAGTTATTCTCCTTTACTCTATGTTGTAAAATCTGCATCTATAGTCATAGAGGTCCTGCCAGGAGACATTCTATACATTTTTTCAATAGAAAATGGAAGACCTTATGAATTTATCTGATGAAACTCTGTTAAAAACATAATTTTATTTTTCCTTTTAAAGTTGTTGGCTGTTTATTAACAAAGCCATTTAAAATGTTAGTAGTTTATATATATGCAAATTATGGTCACAGAGACTTGGGATGACAGAAGGTCATGTTCTATATCACTAGGTAACCTGAAAGCAGAACTCAGGGTACTACTTCACTTTTGTACCTTTCAAAAGTCACTTGATTGCTCACATGAGCCTTTAAAAAAACAACCCCCCCCCCAAAAAAAAACCAAACAAAAAACTCCCCAAAAACCAAGGAGGAAGATGTGTCAGGGTGAGACAGGAGGGATTTCTATAAAGGTCCAGGAAGGGTGTCTCAGCAGTGCTGTCTTGCTTTGAATGAAATGACTCAGTCAAAAGTCAACAAGCATTTTACCAGTTTATCAGAAAAGAATGCCTCAAGTCCAAGGCTATGTGAAATCCTATAATACATGGGGCCTCCAAGACTAATGAATGTTTTCTTCTCTAATTTTTTTCTCTCCCCTCTATCTTATAAATGCAGGGTCCAGTGGAGTAGTTCTCAATCTTCGTCACACATTAGAAAAATCAGGGGCTTAAAAAAAAAGAAAAAAACCCAACGCTCTAGTCTACTCCAGTTCAATTATATCAGGATCTTTGCGACAGTCCCCAGATATTATTCATTTTGGGAGTTCTCCAAGTTAGTCCAGTGTTCAAAATTCAGACTACTCTATGGGTTGGAGAGTAGACTTTTAAGGTCCCTTCATAGCTCCATTTGGGAGGAGGCAAGGATTATATTGAAGGGCTGTGGGGCAGTTAGCTCCAGGTGGAATAGACTTTGGATACTTATGTAGAAAGGAGGAAAATGAGCTGAAACTGGAAAAGAAGGTGTGAGATCTGGCCTTCCAGATGACTGTCTTAGGGCAGCATGTGCACTATATAGGGAACATCATAAGAAGAGTTTTTGAAGGCTGGAGTTGTGGCTCAGTGGTAGAGCACTTGCCTTGCATGTGTGAGGCACTGGGTTTGATTCTCAGCATCACATTTAAATAAATGAATAAAATAAAGGTCCACCAACATCAAAAACAAAACAAAAGAAAGAAAGAAAGAACAGTTTGAAGCATCAGGCACTAGTGTCAGATCCTATCAAATTATAATTTTATAATCCAGTATATAATAATCAACAAATTACTCTTCTGGGACACAGGAGAGTTCATGGTGTTCAGGCTTTTCTGATGAAATCTTAAGTATTATGACTGATGAATTCCTCCAGCTGTGGCTGAGATGCCTTACTCTCTAATTGTTGATCTTGGATGTGGAGGTAGTTGCCACAGCTGTTCCTAAATGATGTTTTACTGTGTAGGCTTGATAATTAGTGCATCCACCCAAACACAGCAGGAACAGCCTCCAAAGTAGGTAGCCCAGTCTGGACTGGAGACATAAAACCAGGCTTCTTTGATGCTAATGAGGTGAGTGGCTATTGGGTAGCCCATCTATTCAGAGAGATGACTGGGCAAATGAACTTTAAGGACCCTTCAATAATCACTCTAGGATACTAAATGCAATTATGTGTCTTAAGAGAAAACATATCTAGGACACAAAATTATCATATCAAACAACTATGATCATCTTTCAATACATATCAAATTTCTATTCACTTCATTTTATTTATTAATCTTTTTCTGTGTGACAGGAAAGCAAATATCCTTGACCAGTTTTCAGAAGAGGAAACTGAGGGGCTGGAGAGTGGACTTTTAAGGTGAGATGAAGTAGTTTCTCCAGTGTCTCAATCATTTTCTGCCTTAGTCTGGCATTCTCCTCACTGGGCCAGTGGTTCTTCTCAACCTTGGCAGCACCTGGGAGCTTTAAAAAGCTGTTGGTGTCCAGTCTCCATTATCACAGATTCTGATTCAACTGTTGGGAAGTGCTGCCTGGACACTGGGAATTTTAAAAGTTTCCCAGGTGATTCTAATGTTCGGTTGACTCTGAGAACCAGTACAGTAGGCTTTGTTGCTTTTTTAATGAAGAGAGTCACAATCCACAGAAGAAGGTTTTGGCCACATCTGCATGTGGCTAAAGGTAATATGCTACTAAGCTTAATTTAACAAAACAAACTACCTTATTTAAAAAAACAAAAATCAAAACAAACTATTCTGTACAACTGTACTTTACTCACAACAATATTAAAATATGTTGTTCCTTTCAGTGACAAGCTGAGTGACTGGTGACCCCCTCAGTCACACAGATCAATTGGCTTAAAGACCAGGCCCCATGCAGCTGTTAACTAGCTGTAATGAATATCTTTCTAAGACACGGTTCTTAAGAAATTTTGTTTCTTATTGTGATGTGAGGAATGGTAATTCCATGAGTCAACAAAGGTCTGAAAGTATAAACAGGATGGGAAGTGGTCTGACCAGTGTTGTCTTCCTTACCAAAAGTATGAAATATCATACTAGACAACTGTAATAAGCACACCCTGGAAAACAGTATTTCATAATTTCAGATTTTAAACTGAGAACATTAGTAAATATTTTGTCACTAAGAGTCCTCCTTGTGAATATTCTGGTACATCTAATGTACTGATATCACCTTTTTAAAAATCATGTGTATTTTTCCCGGCTCCATAACAACACAAGAAGAATATAAAATCCCCATTGGGAAATGTTTTCACTGGGGCTTTCAGAATCTACTTTGTGCTACTACTATAACTGTTACAAATTATAGTAATGATAGTGACATTTAAAATTTGATGAGTGCTTACTATGTGCTAGTGACTGTGCTAGGACATTTACAACTATTTCCTCATGTTATCATCATGGTCCTAAAGGGTGGGCTATAACTGTCCCCATTTTAATGATGAAGAAGCTGAAGCTCAGAGACATACCCAATTCCCCCAAAATACACAGATGGTAATTGGCAGCAATGGAATTTAACCCTGGTTTATTTGTTTCAGAGTTCCCAGTGTTAGCTGTTATTCAAACAGGTCATGTAACCCTTCCTATCAAAGTGTACCATTGGAAGAAAAAACTGAGTCAAACATTTTTCCTAACATGGTATCACTTAGAGGTATCAAAATAGTAAGCAGATTTAACTTTACAAAGGTGCTACAGAGGAATGAGCATCTACTGTTCTTAAGAACTAACACAGACCAATCTCAGAATCTTGCAGTTGTTCATATCCACTCTACATTGGTAGTTTGTAGTAAAACCCTAACTCCTAACTGTCTCATCTGGGAGTACTTACATCATTAGAGGTTTTTTTGGGGGGCAGGGGCACCAGGGATTGAGATCAGGGGCACTCAACCACTGAGCCACATGCCCAGCCCTATTCTGTGTTTTATCAGAGACAGAGTCTCACTGAGTTGCTTAGTGCCTCACCATTGCTGAGGCTGGCTTTGAACTCATGATCCTACTGTCTCAACCTCCTGAGCTGTTGGGATTACAGGTGTGTGCCACCATTCCTGGTTTAGAGTTTTCATTAAAAACATGCAAAACTAATAAAAATGGATAGAACAAGGACATATAAATACGTACCATGCTCTAATCTTTCATAGTCAGAATCCAGGAGAAATGTCTTAAAACGATTAGATACATAGTGGAAGGCCAAGAACTTTAAGTAATAGAGATTGAATTCAAACTCAGCTGGATACTGGTTGTGAACCTGAAACAAGGCAAGAAGAGTAAGAATCAAACAAAACAAAAAACAAATGCCTGCTGAGATCATCATTGGGTTATTCATTCAATAAATGAATCTTCACTATGGGTAGAGATGGGAAGCAGGTGCTCTTCTGGGCATCTACTATATGCCAGCCACCATATGAAAGGTTTTATAAAAAATCTTATTATTTACTTTTTGCACCATTGTAGGACAGGCATTACTGCTATCATTTTACATTTGAAGAGGCTTGGGATCAGCAAGATTAAGTTACTCAATAGTAACTACTGAGTCCAAATGGGAATCGTGATTTGTTATGTTCAAGTCTGTGTCCACTTCCCACACTACACCATGAGAGGCATGCTGACAGAAAGTAATGTAAGTTAGAGTTCTTGCTTTCCAGGCATTTGTGGTGTTATACTGTGAAATGTAAGAAAAACTGTACTTCAGAATTTTGGTAATGAGAGAACTGGGAAGAGAAAGTGGTGGCTTAAGGGGAAAGTAAGAGATATTTTCTAGACAAAAAGCAAAAACAAAAACAACAACAAAACAAAACAAAACAAAAAAAAAACGTGTGCAACTTGGAAGGAGCCAGTAGAGAGAACAATTTTAGAGAAAGAGTTAATATAATAACCGAGAGAGTAAGGCCCTGGAAAAGCAAGAATGAAGAGGCTCAGATATAGGAACAACCTTAGAAACAAGGAGGGATGGGGGAGTAGGTAAAGGTATGTTCATATGCCAAAGGAAGGGGGAGGAGCTTATGCTTTTTAACTTTATTTTTCATTTGTAAATTAGGCAGCAAGGTCACTGGACACAGGAACAAGGACAAAGGAAAGATATGAGAGGGAGAGGGCAAGGCAATGTCTGGAAGTCACTGGGTCACCGTATGTCTATAGCATATTTTAGACCAGCTATATTCAGATGCTATGGAGCCTTCTTATATTGGCAGAAGGCAGGATAATGACCTTGTGACACTCCCTGGTCCACTGGGTGATCTTGCTGCTGCAATGTTCAAACAATCTCTCATAATCATCTGAAATTGGTTAAGTTCCAATCATAATCGTGCTTGCTTAAGAGCTATTTCAAATGAATAAATGTTAGCTTTCCTCTCCATGTTTAATTTGGCCATACAGACCCACAATCAATCAGCTGAGGTGAGCAGCCATGTGTATAATATGTTGATTGTCCAACAGAACAGTAGGCATTTTAAATAATGATGTGGATTGATTTATCAAAGTTTATTGTCTGATTAAAAACCTAGTTTTCTGTGATGAGCAAAGTATTTTTTTTTACAAAATTTTCTTATTGGCTTTTTCATTAATCTAAAATTTTAGATTAATGTAAGCAATGTAAAAGAAATTGGTTTTTAGGAAGATTAGAGAGTCTGCAACCTAGGCAACAGGCCTGTACACAGTGAGGCTGTTTCCGGCCTGGTTCTCCATGGTTGGGTAGTGTGTCATCCTCTAGACTGTTAGAATTATAAACATCTGTATTGAGTTTTCTCACCAGTGAAAATGAAGGAATTAGATACCATGGGTTTCCTGTGATTATGGTATATGAGGAACAATTATAAAGTCTAAGTATACTTGAAGAGTTTGTGGTTATAATTAAATAAAACTTAAGTCAATCTGGCACATTTAAGGTTCAACATTTTGCCTTGCAGCATTATCTCTGGGCATAAAAATAAAAGTAAGTGGTTATTAGAATTAGTAATACTTTCTTCTATTTCCATAAAGGAAAAATAAACACAAAATATTTTCTTTCCTTGCTTTGTTAGATGTTTGTATCAACTGTCAACCATGTCCTTTAATACACAATTCTCATTCAAATGCTTGCCCCTATTGATATACAGGTACACTAGAAGATAGCCCTGGGTTAGAACTCCACTTGGCCTAGTTCTCTGGTGTTCACTTCCTTAAGAGGTGCCCAGACTCAAGTCTTCCCCTAACCTATCCTTTACTGCAATATAAAGCTTTCTAGTTTGAGCTCCTTGTTTACAATCAATGGTCATCTTCCATGGAGCCAGTGTACACATGATGGAGATGGGGATGATCAGATAGTGGCAGCCAAGAAAGATAAGGAGACAGGGCAACTGAAGATGGTACTTGGCTGCCAATCATCTGAGAGGAGAAATCTACAGTATACTCAGGCAGGGTGCACTTAAAGGACAATTGCCCCCACAGTGCCTGGAATAAACCTGCAGTTAAAGCCAGCCCTCAGATCATCGTTTCTGGGGAAGAAGAGTTCAGGTTTTTTTTTTTTTTTCTATTGACCTAGTCTACAATTAGTTCTAGAAACACTTATAAAACCTTTTTAAACTAAGCCCCAAATAACACTTTTCTCAATGATTATTTCCATAGAAACCTCTTGCTTCACAACTATGTCTTTTCTTGTTGGTTCTGATAGTTAATATGCTCAGGAATATAATTTTGAAAACTCACTTCTGAAGTAAAGTAGAATGGAAACGATAATGAATGTGACCTTAAGATGAACCTATAGGCATTTCAGGGATCATGTTAGGACCACAAGCCTCCTCGACAAGTAGAAAAAAACCTCTTTCACAGACCACTATACTGAGGATTGGCCTCACCACAAACCCTGCCCTCCATAATTATGTCAGAGAGGTCACTTTTCTGAAGCCTCTGGTACTGCCCCTTCTAGGATTGGAATTGGTACTTAGCATCAAAGGATAAGTGTTTGTTCTTGTGTGTATGCCACAGGGGAGCCTGCAGTTGCTAACTGCCTGGGATTGAAAAAGAGATAAAAAGAAAAATCTGCCCTTAACTGAGGTTCATGGCCCAGTCTACTAGAAATGGAAAAGAAGATGCAGAACAACTTTGTTTTTCACTCTTCAGCAACAGTTGAAGTAAAAAGCATGTGAGAATTTCTCCAGTGGAAAAAATAAGTCAGATGTGCCTGGATGCTGGGTTGATTAGTACCCAGATACCACATTTGGAATGTGATATTAAGAAATAAGAAATTTTTTGAGATGTCTTTCTACCATAATGCAGGGAGAAATGAAGAGCTGATTGAATTCATAAAATGAAATCTGGTGACTGGATTTTCAGTAAGCAAGAAAAATCACTGTGTCTGTTTAGTCCAATATCCTAGGCACTCAGTTTGTCTAGTACATTGGCTTCTTTTCTTCCTTGTCAAGTGGGACAAATGTACTCTTCTGCTGTACCATACCAGGTGGTATCCAAAAAGGCACAGTCCATAATATGCTGATGCTGGAACTGCACTGATTATTTAGTATTATTTTAATAGAAGAAAGGGGATTAGACCAGAGACAATTTTCTCTAAGGACTTATGATATATGGGTGGGTGATTAAGAGTTTAGAGGTTTGTTTACCACAAGATTCTGTTTTAGTAGTAAATAGTATTAATGAGGTATAAGTGACATATAATAAACTGTATTTAATGTGTACACAATCTGATAAAGTTTGACATATATAGACACAACACAATCAACACAATCAAAATAATCAACATGACTCCTCAAAACTTCCTTGTGGGGGCTGGGGTTGTGGCTCAGTGGTAGAACACTCGCCTAGTATGTGTAAGGCCTTGGGTTCGATCCTCAGCACCACATAAAAATAAATAAATAAATAAATAAAAAATTGTGTCCAACTACAACTAAAAAATAAATATTAAAAAAAAAAACTTCCTTGTGTCCCTTTTGCTTCTTCCTGTACTCCCGCTCCCTAGGCAACCAAACACTGGTTTGATTTTGCCACTGCAGGTAGGTCCGCACTCAAACTTTATATAAATGGAATTGAAAGTATGGATTCTTTTTGTTTGCCTCATTTTACTAGGAATAATTATACAGGATCCAATCACATTGTTGGGTTATCAATAATGCATTCCTTTTTATTTCTGAGTAGCATTCTACTGCATAGATATACCACAATTTATTTATTCATTCTCCTGTTGGTGGAAATTGTTTCTCCCCCCGCCCCCCAGATTTTTGGCTTTTATTTTTTAATTGGTTCTGGGGATTGAACCACATCCACAGCCCTTTTTATATTTTATTTAGAGACAGGGTCTCGCTGAGTTGCTTAGGGCCTTGCTATGTTGCTGAGGCTGGCTTTGAACTCACAATTCTCCTCCCTCAGCCTCCTGAGCTTCTGGGATTACAGGTGTGCACCACATGGTGCCTGGCAGATTTTTGGCTATTATAAATAAAACTGCTAAGAAGAGTTATGTACAAAAGACTGATTAGTATGGTTGGTGTATGTTTAACTTTCAAAGAAAAGGCCAAACTGTTCTAAAATAGTTCCATAATTTTATAATTCTTAATGGTAGTATTATGGTCAATTCTTCATACCCCTGAAAAAAACTTTGGTCAGTTTAAAAATTTTCATTCATTAGGAAAGACAGCAGAATACAACAGACATGAGTATGGCAATACGTAAATCAATGGAAGTGTAACTGATGTGATTCTGCAATCACTTGAATCAAAGTGTGAAATATGATATATCAAGAACTATGTAATGTTTTGAACAACCAACAATAAAAAAGAAAGAAAAAAAAGAAGAATAGATGTGTGGTGGTATTCTGTTACAATTTTTATTTCCTAACAAAGAACAATGTCAAATATTTTCATGTGTTTATTT